GATTGACACCTTCAGACTGACATTTTCACGTTGACATTTTCTGAGTTACACTTTTAGATTTACATTGTCATATTGACATTTTCTGATTTACCTTTTCAGTTTTATACTTTCAAACTGACATTTTCTGATTGACAATTTCAGACTGACATTTTCTGATTCACAATTTCACGTTGATATTTTATGATTTACAATTTCGGGCTCACATTTTCTGATTGACAATTTCAGATTGACATTTTCTGATTCACATTTTCACATTGATATTTTCTGATTTACATTCTCACACTCACATTTTCTGATTCACATTTTCAGACTGACATTTTCTGATTGACAATTTCAGACTGACATTTTCTGATTTACGTTTTCAGGCTGACATTTTCTGATTTATGTTTTCAGACTGACATTTTTGGATTCATGTTTTCAGACACATTTCCTGATTTACATTTTCACACTGACATTTTCTGATTTATGTTTTCAGGCTGACATTTTCTGATTTATGTTTTCAGACTGACATTCCCTGATTTACATTTTCACACCGACATTTTCTGACTGACACTTTCAGATTGACACTTTCTGATTTATGTTTGCACACTGACATTTTCTGATGGAAACTTTCACCCTGACGTTTCCTGAACCCCTTTAATTTTCAGCGAGGCTTTGCAGGGGCAGTGTGAGCCCAGCTCTGGGTGTGCACACACCAGGAATTGCTGGCTCCAGACAGGAGCTGGGGATGTGCAGTCCTTGGCTGGGCTGAGGCTTTGCTCCTGCCACAGCTCCACTAAATTCACATTTTCATGCTGTCCCTCTGCTTCAGGGCTGCCCCAAGCCCTGGTGGCGCTTCCCACCACTCTCATCCCACTTTTATTCACAACCCTGGAGTGGTTTCTCCGTTCCCCCCGGAGTTTCCAAACAATCACCCAGGTGAACGAGGAAAATCCGTTTGGGTCACTCCCACTCCCTTTCCAACTCCCTGCAGATTTCCAGTCTGACAGTGACAGCTTCAACCCCACTCTGTGGGAGGAGCAGAGGCAGCAGAGGATGACGGTGGCCTTCGAATTCGAGGACAAGAAGGAAGAGGAGGAGAATCCAGGGAAAGTCAAGGTGAGCACTGCTGGATTTATTCTGGGACTCACTTCTTCTGGGCAGGGTTCAATATGCAGGTCTTGAGTTGAGCTGGCTTTGTGTTTGAATGTCAGATTCCTGCTCTGTCCCAAAGGGAACTGAGACTGAATTACTGCCCGACTTTTTAAATTGCAGATTCTATATAATAAATTATATCATTAATTATATTGTTATATAGTCTATAGATATTATATAGAAATATAATTAATTGTATATAATTATATATTCATTATACTAATATGTTAATAATTTATCAATTATGTGTTAAATATAAAATATGTGTTTATTATATATAATTTACATATATATTATATTATATTATATTATATTATATTATATTATATTATATTATATTACATTATATTACAGTATAGTATATTATGGTATATTATAGTATATTATGGTATAGTATATTATATTATAGTATAGTATGGTATATTATAGTATATTATGGTATATTATAGTATATTATGGTATAGTATATTATATTATAGTATAGTATGATATATTATAGTATATCATAGTATATCATAGTATATCATATTATATTATTAATTTCTACATAATTACTGTCCAACCACTGCTTTTTCAGGAATATGGGAATCCCATAGGGAATCCCATATTCCTCTCAAAGCAGAAGTCAGCGAGGGCTTTGCAGCCTCATGGAAAGGGCATCACCTGTGAAAAATGAAGTTCAAAGCAGGAACTTCCTCCCCCAGTCCCATGAAATTTGTGTCATTGCAGAGTTTTCCCCCAGTCCCTCAATCAGCTGCACTGTCAGGAGGATATTTTGGATATTTTTAAACCTGCCAGCCTTTACATGGCATGGAAATGTGTCTTTCTTGAATAATATCTAGGAATTGTCCCACACTTCAACCCTGCAGATTTCTAACTGTGGTAGAATACCCAGGGTAAAATGTAGGGTCACAGATAAAATCATCTGAGGAGGTTTAATTTGGATTTTACTTCTCAAATTAACAGATCTCTCATCAGTAGCATTTTAACACCCCATTGAGAACTTGGTGGAAATTCTTGATTTTTCTTTCCTATGTTTTTCCCAGTTGGGAGTTTCTCTCCAGCTCCTGTGCCCAGAGCTAATGGACTCTTCTGCTTTAGTGAAACAGAAAATGAAGCCAAAAAAAGCCTTCACCTCACAATAAATAAATTAAAATTGAATTTTACCCTTGATTAATTGCAGGTTTATGGGTCATGCATGGAAAACAGCATCTGGGAAAGTTTTCTGTTGTTCCACAGCCTTTATCAGAATTTTCCCTGGGGGTGACATGACTGGAGGTTTCAGCATGAACATTTTTAGCAGTTTCCCCGGAGCTTTAAGGGATAAATTCAAATAAACATAAATTCTCAACAGGCAGTAACCACCAACACTGCAGGATTTCAAAACAGCGGAAGAAGTTTTCACTTTTTATCTCTCATCAAACTGAACTTTCAGCCAGACAGATGCTAAAATAGATTTGATAGTTGGGGTTGTTCAATAGCTTTTTTCCATCAAGGATTTTGAACTTCTGAAAATTCTCTCTTCGGGGTCAGGCTGCTTTTGATGTAGCTCTGGAATGGGACTGGCAGGGAATACAGATTTCCTCTGGGATGGCGAGTGTGGATCCGGGAGGGAAAGATCTGCACCCCACTGCTGTCCCCCACCAGGGCTGCAGCAGTTTGGCTGTTTGATTTTAATGAAGATTAACGCTCCCAGGGGCTGGAACTCCTGCTGAAATCCCAGTTTGGGATTGTCTGTCTCATCCCAGCCTCCAGCCCCTTCTCCCTGGCTGATTCCTGAGGATTTGCTCTGTGCCTTGCTCTCAAGCCATGGCCTGAGCTCTGGCAGACACCAAGTGCCTCATCAGGCCACCCCTGAGCACAATTCCATTCAACCATAATTGAAGCAGAGCTTTTAGTGCTGCTTTCCAGACTTGATCTGTCTTTTTCTGTTGGAATTTTTTATTAAAAGTGACATCCCACTCAGAGATTTTAACATTTTCTGTTCTACCCCATGACGTTTGCTCTCTCCTGGTTCAGATCTGGATGCCAGCACTTGACACGGTTTTATTTACCAAATCAATCATGCTTTTGCCTCTGAAATATTCCTATGGACAGACCATTTTCAGTTAAATCCAAAAGTGTGTTTTTCCTGCTCGTTGGGAATTTGAATGCAGCAGCTCTGGCAGGGAGCTATTTAAATCAGCTCACCTGCACCACGAGGTAAAAGCTGCCGTGTGCTCAATTTCAGATCCTTTACCACCAGCAGGAATTTGAATTTGCCCAGCCTCATCACCCTGACACGCTCTAGGAAAGCTGGGAAGTTCAGATTAGTGGGGTTTTGATGGAAATCTGTGGTTCTGTCCCTCAGCAAAAGCTCAGTCAAGCCCTGGGGACTCCCTGGAGAGCTCTGGGTCTGTTCCCCTGTGCCAGAAAAGAGCTGCAGACACCCGGCTGTGTGTGAGCATCATCCATCTCCAGGAGCCAATGGCTCCCAGAGGATCAGATCCTGCTCTCAGCTGCCATCCATAATTCACATTAATTGAGTACACAGAGCGTGGCTGAATTAATTCTGCATTTACAGCAGGATTGTTTGGGAAGGCGTGATGGGATGTGGCAGCAAAGTGCAGAGCTACCAACCAACACCCTCCCAGGGGGAGAGATGGGCTTGCAGGGAACCACTCCATCCCTTATTTTATTGCCCTAGGATTGCATTCGATGCTGACACAGAGGGACTGAGCAAATTTCAGTCCTTAAACTCCTCAAACTCCCCAGACAGACCCACCAAACCTTGAGGAAAGCGCCCTCAGCCCACAACTGTAACCAGGCTCTCCTTTGCGCTGTTTCCGTCCTGTACTTCTGCTGCCATTCCTCACTAACTCCTCCTTCCCCGCTGCTCAGGTGGAGATAAACCTCAAACGTTACCCCACGCCATACCCCGAGGATCTGAAGAACATGGTGAAATCCGTGCAGAACCTGGTGAGCAAACCCAGCCTGGGGGTGCGGCCCGAGAACTCGGCCCCAGCTGCCACCACCGACCCCACGGGCAAGGACAAGTACGAGCACAAGTGGCCCCTGACCCCCAAGGAGATCTCCGTGGAGGTACTGTGAAGGACCCTTGCTCCTCTCCAGAATTCCAGACCCATTTTCCAGGGTTTTGAAGCCCCAGAGGATGTTCTGATCTGCTGGGAGCCTCAGACCCGAGAGTTCCTTGTTCTACCCGTAAAGTTTTATGTTGAGTTGTTGGGTTGCATTCAGGTTTAGATTGAGCTGCTGAGTTTCGTCCAGTTTTAGACTGAGTGGCTGTTGTCCCCAGTGCTGCTGAATTTTTGGGTTGAAATCCCCCTGGATGGGAGTTTTGCTGTGGATTTCTCCCAGCACTCTGCTCAGTTTCAAGGCTGTGAGGTTGGCAGGTGACAGGAGGATGGGCCCAGGCCCCATTTCCATCCCATTTCATCTGTTCAAGACTCCTTGGGTCTGTGTGCCAGGAGGTTCTGCCCTTGGGATTGCTGCCAGGAGCAGGAATGCAATTAATCCTGCCCCGAGTTAACGAAGGCTTCAGGAGAGCTCCTTGTGCAGGGAGCAGCCCTGGATGCTGAGAGCTGCAGAGCCCAGCTCTTCCCGGAGTGTTTGCCAAGCACAGGGACAGATCCTACCCCAGGATTAATCCCCAAAAGGTGGGTTCCTAAATCCTGCAGTCCTGCTGGAGCTTGCTCTCATCTACCCCACCAAACGAGGGGAATCCCTTCCCACGGGAGCTGAAAAGCTTGGAGAGGTCTGCAGGAATGCCAGCATTCCTGAAGGTCGTGGCACAGTTTTAATGCTGGAAAGAAATAAAGGAGGAGAAACCTTTTCCTTCTTTTTCACTCCTTTGTTATCTGAACATTGTAATAAACTCCTTGTCTTTGCAACAGGCATATCCTTGAAATCTCCCCTGTCTGTGGTCAGACCTGTGTGCAGGAATTGTTCTCCCTCAGATTTCCACGTCTTTGGCACAAATATTGCACATTCAGCTGTGGCTGCTCTCTCAGTGCTGTGTTTTAGTTGCAGTCTAACATTTTCATTCCTTAAAAAAAATAACCCCCCAAAGTTTTCTCCTCAAGTTGGCTTCGGAAGTCTTCTACTCCAGGCACTATTTCAATTAGAGCCAAAATATTGAAGTTAAATATTTCATTTCAACTAAAATAGCTCAGTTAAATCACTCACATTTCCATCTAAATCTGAGCTCTTCAATTGAACCATTATTCCTTTTTACTCATTAAATTCTCACTGCGTAAATCTGGTCCTTGAACCAGCTGGTGACTCAGGCCACGAGTCTTGACATTCTGCTCTTGCTGCTGAATATATAGAATTTATTTTGTATTATCTATCATTTGAACTTGAATATTCTCAACATCTTTCTGTGGGTTTTTACTACATGTTTCTATCTGGAATTTGACCCACGTGGCCTGGCAGAGGTTTTAGGTGTTTGATCTCGTGGCTGTGGCTGGCAATGCGGCCTCCAGAAATCAGTGGTCTGTGAATATTTGTTAAAATAATGTTCATTTTTTTCAATGAAAACACGGACATCCGAGTGAGCTCAGCCCCAGCAGGGTCCTGGAGGCTGGCAGGAAATGCAGCTGAAGGGAGGAATGGCAGTCACAAACATGGGATGCTGCTGGGGAGACATCCCTGGGCTG